TGTACTCGGAAGGACAGCCATGGCGATAAGGGTGCCATGTGGCTAAGAGGAGCGTTACTGCCCTGCAAAGGAGCGCCGTTCGTCCTGCCTTGAGGTCGTGCCTTCTCCACCAGCGGTCAGTCAGTGGCTCCTTCCAGCTTGAGCCTTCGGTTTGATGTCTGACGCAGGAAGGCGCACCCGGTGAAGTCTAGGGTCCATGTGAATATCATGACCTCGGGAAGCTCTGCATCGTTAGTCGCTTCGACTGGAGCTGTCGGCAGGAATGCACAGGTAGCCACCTAGATGAAGTGGGAGCCAACTGATGAACAGTATTCCCTTGCATTACTAGTCAGCCGATACGCTGTATCATACAGAATATATCATTCTTGTGGAAGCTTGCTTTGCATCGCAGCGTCGCCGCCTGCAGACCCTCCTTGACTGTCACTGACCCATCAGCACGACATGTACTGGCGTAATTTCCGACAACCAGTAGATTAGTCTCTTTAAGCAGCACGACGACAACGCGTATGTAGAGAAAAGGGAACAAAGAAAGTGGTGGTGTTTCAGTGTGGGCGGTGGAGGATGACAAATGGAGCTTAAGCTATGGCCATGAGGTCAGAGGTGTGCAGCTAAAATTGGTGGGGAAGCCATGTCTCCATCTCTGCCTGGACTTCTCTGCTGTCGACTAACCCCACGTAGCAAATACCCTCGCCGCACACTTCTCCCGTCCCAGGGCGCTCCAGGATAATTGGCAACAAGCATCGAGCCGCAATTACCTGGAGCCGCTTCCGAATCTTCAGTCGCACTTTCTTCCGCACGCCCCAGCAAACATGGCCGACACCGCACGCGCAGCCACGGCGCAGAAGCAGCACCGGCGCCCAGGCTCGCGCATCGTGCCTGCCATCCCCTACCGTCTGTCCAAGTCTCAGCCATCAGCCAGACCCATCACACCAGACGGCTCCACCAAGGACAGTGTCGCCCAACCAGCTAAGCCGCAGCCGGAGCCGCAATCCGCGCACGAGAGGCAGGAACAAGAGCAAACTGAAAACCAACAGGCCGAGGCGGTGCAGACTCCTCTTACGCCAGAGTCAAACACTTCGGGCGCAGAAAAGAGAGAGCTCGATGCAACCGCCGCGCCTGGCCCGTTGCAGAATGGCCACTCGGCACCGGCAGACACTCGTGGTGAGCATTCACTACCGGCTCCTTCTTTGACGCAGCACGTACTAAACTCCCAAGATGCAGAGAACCACGTCAACGGCCATGCCGACGAGAAGCCTCCCGCGCCCGTGGAGCCCAGCGCCGAGCCCAAGCCTGTCACGAACGGAGTGCACCGCAAACTGACCATACCCGCCCACCTGCCTCCGCCCTTCTATCCCTCGAACAAGACGGACACGCAGACACCGCCCACAGAAGGCAGCGACAGCGCTCACACTTCCTCGCACCGCCACCAGCTCAGTGCTGGTGCTCTGGTCTTCCAGAGCGCGAATGAGTCACCGGCACCTCCTGTGGCTCCTCAAGAGCCAGAGCTGCACCAGCACGAACAGCACGCGCTGCCACGTCCTCCGCCTGGGTTCGGTCCCCAGCAGTTTGCGCCTTTCTTCCCCGGCCACGCCCAGCATCCCTCAGAGGCAGGAGCGCCCTGGCATGTGCCGCCACAAGCAGTCGCACCGCCTGAAGCTGCCTACGCAAACGGCTCCGAGTTTCGACCCTCGCAGTTTCCCAGCGGTCCTGTCCTCTATCCGGGTCCTCCCAACGGTCACTTCTCGCCGGAACAGGCAGCTTTTGTCGCAAACGGTACCCGCACCTCGCACTCGCAGTCACCAAGCAAGGCACAATTTGGCGACACGGTACCCACGTCAGACCACGGGGACGAGCATCATGCCATGCCCTACCAGAATGGCACTGCCCCTCCTACCGAACGCCTCGAGGAGTCGCCGTTTGAACTTGCCAGCTATTTGTCAATCCAATTCGCCAACCCCGAATTCGCCGACTTCATCCTCCAAGTTCGGTCACCTGAGTCCATTCTGATGTCAGTACCAGTTCACGGCATCGTAGTCGTGCGGAGCCCTGTCATAGCCGAAGCAATTCGTCGCAGCCCGGCCCCCAGCCACCGCAGCAGAGACGCGCGCCGACTGGTCGATGTCCTTGCGCTCGACCCTTTCACTACCGGCGAATCCCTAGAGGAAGCTGTCAGGGTTCTGTATGGCGCCCCGCTCCTTTCTGCCCAGACCTTCCTGTTCGGCCTTGCACCTTACATGTACGAGAACGACCAAGCGTCCCCTTCCAACGACGCCCGCATGCGCATGCGACAAGTTCTGAGCTACATTGCGGCAGCAAGGACTCTCCAGATGCCTAGCATGCAGGCGCGCGGTATTGAGATCGCACGGATGCTTCTCCGATGGGATACTGTCGAGCAGGTACTGCAATATACACTGCAGGCCAGCTCTGGGCCACGATCAAGAGGTGAAGGTCCCGATGCAGAAGACCCCTTCATTTCAATGCTGCTCAATCACGCTCTCGAGTTCATCGCCTACACCTTCCCTGCCGACTTCAAATTGTACGCGATAGCGCCAGAGTTTTCAGATGCTCCACGTCTGCCAGCACTCGTTGAACCACGTAACGCCGCGCATAACCCAAGGCTAAGCAAGATTCGGTTCGGTGACGCGCCACCGGAAGATGATCACCGTCCTAGCCACGCGACCGTCGTGCTGTCGACTATTCTGCTATCTCTGCCACTTCCACTCGTGGAACGGCTCTTCAATCATCGGGCAACAGCGAATCAACTCGGATGGAGTGGTGCCACTAAGATCTTGCGCGAAGTAGTCAATGAGCGTGAGAATCGGCGCCAAAAGGCATCGGCGGGCCAGTTGAAGCCGAGCCAAGATGGTACCATTCCAGCCGGCCTCTTGAACAACGTGTATCTTGAAGAACGCGTGGAGCAAGTCGAGCCATCACCTCTTCACCCTTCCGGCCATCGCTTGGCGACGAAACGGGTGGCCAGCGACACATGAGGAGCAGTCCGAACAAGTGGAGCCTCGACGACGTTAGTTCTTTCCCATGTCAGCATTCGACATTCGGCACGACTTTTCGGGCCGGCGACATACAAACCAGGTCGGTTCTTTCCTTAGGGTGTAAGCATAGTGAGCGTTCATGGGCGTTCACGCAGGCGTTGTGAGCGAGTCCTTCCACCAAAACCTTTCCTACGGTCACCAAAAGTACGTTACGATGTGACGAAGCATATTCCCCAAGATCATGACAGCATGCCAGCTTGACTTTGATTTGTACATCATTACGGCATAAATGTTTTCTTTTCTCTATGATGGTGGCGGCGTCTTAGGCAAATGTGTCGGAATCAGACGCAGCGCGGTATACAAAGGTGGAGGATGAAATCTCACGGGTTAGATAGGCCGCGCTGAAGGGCGGAAAAATAGCATCAGGGTATCAGCAGACTACATATGCGAAGCGCAGTGTTCTTGGAAGGTACGACGATGGGATACAGCCCTGTCTCGGCCGGAATTGCACGGCTGTAATGCGGAGATAACAATCAGGAAAGTTTCATGACGTGCCTGTTGCCGCGCACGTGGCGCGCCGTTGTCTGCAAGGCTGTACTCCCTAAGGTTTTGACTAAAGCATGAAACCGGATCGTTCCTCATAACGAAATCCCCCGATTGGAGTACGGAGTGTTGGACAAACCTTAGCAAGTACGTTTCGCCATGTCTTCCTCAGCCTCAACTTCCAAGGCTGGAGCGAGCCGTCGGTTGCTTGAGAATATGCCCGAAAGAGGAGGAAGTGTAGCGCAGCCCAGGTCTGTGTTGCACCCTTTCTAGCCGATGCCGCCAGTCAACTCCGAAGCTTGATATATGGTCTCCTGGGGCTGCTTGTCTCTCATTCACGTCTCATTTAGACGTCTTTCCAAGTCCGCGTTCCGCCAACTCTTTGATTATTCTATCCGTCATCTCCTGCTTGTGTGCTTCTCAGCAAGCGTTGCTACTGGTAGTTTCCGTTTCGAAGGACCCCATTTCTCCAACAAGAACCTCGTTGGACACTCACTGCCGGGCCACTGCTCCGTCTTGACACCCAGCGACAACACTTCCACTCGCGACAGCTACACTGGCAGCGGGAACGGGTTCAGTATGCCACCCACAAATGTACCGTCGCTGGACCCCGGTAGACAGACTGGACCGGCTTCCTATGAGTTGACGGACTTTGGCGGACCTAGTCAACAGCCATCCCTTGCGACTTTGAACTCGCAGTACAGTGCGGAGTCGTCGAAGGATCCAAGACACCAGCCATCCTATACGACTTTGAATTCACTGCGCAGTACACATAAGGAACGCGTGATAGAGGACAAGGACGATGAAGATACAAACGAGAGCAGGCTGGAACCTGATCGATCGAGTAAACCTAATGTGAACGACGCGTCCGAAGTACCGAATGGTGGGCTTTGGGCATGGCTGCAGGTTCTCGGAGCATTTTTTCTGTTGTTCAACTCTTGGGGCGTAAGTAACAGCCACATACAGAGTTCATGTAAGACCTGAACTGACCCTACACCACAGATTATCAATACATTCGGAACATTCCAAACATATTACGAAACAAATTTGCTCGCCAGCTCGAGTGCTTCAGCCATATCCTGGATCGGGTCTATACAGGCGTTCCTGCTCCTCTTGGTCGGCGCCCTCACTGGTCCCATTTATGACGCAGGCTACTTTCGCGCACTGCTCATCGTGGGAAGCTTCATGTTGGTTTTGGGCCAGATGATGCTCAGTCTATGCCATACGTACTGGCAAGTCCTTCTTGCGCAAGCGTTCTGCATCGGTATTGGGACTGGATGTCTGTTCATCCCTAGTGTGGCTATCCTTTCAACCTACTTTTCTACCCGGATCGGAACAGTGATTGGAATTGCCGCAGCTGGGTCATCGCTTGGCGGCGTTATCTACCCCATCGTATTCCACAAACTCATCTCTCAAATCGGATTCCCCTGGACGACGAGGGTGCTCGGCTTCATTGTCCTCGCCACTATGATTGTACCCAATGTTTGCATGCGCGTCCGCGTTCTGCCGGCAGAATCGCGGTCTCTTCTCGACCTGCGCGCCTTCCTGATGCCGTCATACAGTCTCATGGTCGCGGGATTCTTCCTTGGCTTCATGGGCTTATACATGCCGTTCTTCTATGCACAAACCTACGCTATTCAAGAACACATTACGAGTGAGAGCATGGCATTTTACCTCCTCGCCATCATGAATAGCACGAGTGTCTTTGGACGTATAGTGCCAAATTTGGTAAGTTTTTCCGCCACCCTCCAGAAACTACTTTTGTTCGGCGTGGAGTTACTAACTTCTCTCCGCAACAGTTCTCCGACAAACTCGGCCCTTTTAACGTCGTAATCCCTTGCTGCATAATCTCTGGCGTTCTCTGCATATGCTTCATGGGTGCCACCTCCTCCGCCGGCATCATCGTACTCATGGCATTCTACGGTTTCTTCTCCGGATCTTTCGTCTCGCTTCCACCCGCCATCGTAGTTCAGCTGAGTAGTGACGCGCGAGACAAGGTCGGCACAAGGATGGGTCAGGCCTTCGCTGTCGTGGGTGTGGGGCTGCTGATTGGAACGCCGATCGGAGGTGCGATTCAAGAACAAAGTGGTTTTGCTAGCTTGTGGGTGTTCGGAGGGTGTTTGTTATTCGGATGTGTGCTGTTGCTTATTGCTGCTCGGGTGGCATTCAAGGGGCGGAAGATCATGGTCAAAGCATGAAGTAGGAAACGTGAGCACGAAAGAGAACGAACCGTTACGCATGGAAGTCGATGACAGTCTATATCTTACTCAACATGAAGGGTATTCACCAACTCCAAATACCCGGAACAACAGACATTGAACAATTGCGCGCATCACTTCGCTTCACACCATGCCTTTAGGTCATCGTTGTAGCCCTCCCATCCCTTCTTCGTCTTTCCCGGGAAGCCGAACTGTCGTGCCACCGCGTTTTCACCCATGAGAAAGGACAGCGCGCCGCTGAAGACCTCTTCTTGTGTGAACTTCGTGCCGCCCGGAATGGTACTACTGGGCTCGAAATTGAAAGAATGTGTGCCTGTGAAGAGAAGCGGTATGGACCCTGTCCACGCAAAGGAGGTAGGTGTATTATGCTACAAACTCTATTAGACAATGTCGCGTCATAGTAGTACAGATATGACGTACTTCGATTGGAGCATCCATCTTTTGTCCCGATGAGAAGACCACGCGTATCTTGTTCTCGGGTTCGACGGGGCCGAGTGGGGTCAGAGAAGCGAAGAAGCCTTTGTGGTATTTGGGGAGGGATGCGAAGTCGAGAAACTTGCGATCTTGTAAGCATCGCGACAAACAAGCTTTGTATTAGGCCGAGAGAGGTGGTGCTCGTACTTTTGCGCGGACATCTTCCGGTGAGGATGCGATTTCGATGCTTGCTGTGACGGTCATAGCTGCGAGTTGGCAGATGAGATGCGATGATCACTTGGTAAGTTCAAGGGATAGGATTTGTTCCGACGAAGAAAAACTTGCACCTTAATGTGACGATAGGAGATGCAGTGACGATATTTATTGCAGATAGCGTGACGCCTTCGTATGAATCCATATCTACAGCTGCTCAGCGGACGAAAGATACCATGATATGCCTATGCCTTTTGCGGCTCAATGCGCGCATACATATCAGTGTGACTTTACACTGCAAGGGGACCTGGGAGACTCACTGCGCGTTAGCGTTGGAAGGTTGACGGAAGAACGCAAGAAGGGGCGGTGCGGCACGTCTTAGGGGTCGAGGCATCTCGCCCAATGAGCCGCAAGCGGTTTAGCCTAACCCCAGATTAGGCCGATGTCCCCCCATGTCAGCCCATGACCTCCCCACTTGCCTCTTCAGCCACCTCGTCCAATGTACCGTATCCGTCTCATCCATATGCATCTCGCAAAAACCAAGTCTAGATCATGGTCAATGTAGCCGGCCGTTCGAAAGGATGCTCAACCTGCCGCAGGCGCCGTATCAAGTGCGGTAAGCGCCATCGTCTTGCACATTAGACCTCAGGCTGACCCTACCAAAGATGAGACTCGCCCAACATGTCAGAGATGCGAAAAGGCTGGCTTCAAATGCGATGGTCCACAGTCGATCGTCTTTGTGCAAGGCAAAATCGTCAAGTCTAGGAGGTCACAGAAGTTGAAGAGCAAGGCGGCGGACCCGCCTGTAACGACTGTCTGGAAGAGGCAAGAAGTAGAAGAGTCTACCTCGGAATCTCCTGAACACCGCTTCGACCTCCCTGAAATCAGGCCTAAATTCAACGACAAAGAAGTTTGCATATGTTATGCACGCCGCCATCTTCTACCCAACGGTCCCATAGACCTAGGGTTACAGGAGCTTCAGCCCTCAGACATTGTCACGGATAACTACGCCGTAAGAGGAGCAAGCAGCCCATTATTTGTTCAGGCCGCACTCAGCTTTGCAACCCTCTTCTTCGGCGCGCAGCATCACCAGAGCGGGATCCTCGCCGAAGGTTATGCCATACATGGTGTAGCTCTCAAGCGGCTGAATCAGGCTTTGAGCCAGCCAGAACGCCGTATGCATGACGACGTAATCGTTTCCGTCATTCTATTGGCTATGCTTGAACTTTTCATGCCCACTGGACCAAGAAATTGGCTCAAGCACATGCTTGGGATGGAGCAGCTCCTAGCATTACGTGACCCAGCATCCCTGGTTCACGCGTCATTTCGGACACTTGAGCTGTACAAAGGTGTGCGGCATATGATACTGATAGCATCATTGAGGAACAGAACGTCATCAATCTTTGCGCGACCACAGTGGAAAGCTGTACTGAGAACAGCGCTCTCGCTGGAAACTCCAGATGAACAAGACTTGCATGACGTGCTCGCAGATTGTTCGGTGCTAATAGCTGCGAGTGACGAGCTCTTCAAGCTTCAGCATGCGTCTGGCTTAAGCTATATTCAACGGCGACAGGAAATGCAATGCAAGGCAGATGGGACCTTAGTCTTTCTTCGAGCGTGGAAACGACGATGGGATAGCAATGAGGAGAACGTCCATATCGAAGAAGAGTGTCTTGATCCGACCAGTACCCAGATTTCGCCACGCATTATATACCGGTTCATGAGCGACTCTGTTGCACGGATGCTGATGTTGTACAACACCGCATTGATCTACACCCTCCGTGTCATGGCGACTTTAGGAAGCAAAACTAACGGCACACAACACATTCCGAGCGATCACATACAGGGCGGCACAGGCGCGGATGTTATGACTGAGAGCTCCTACTATCCTGTCATCCGTACAGCAGGACTCGACATCGCCCGCTGCATCACTGACTATCTGCAACACAAACGTGCGCGAGGAGAAACAGACTTTGTCTCACCCATGGTACAGTGGGCTGTGATCACCGCCGGGCAGGCATTAGGCGGCGAGGAGTCTCCGGATGGCAAATGGATGGTCAGCCTACTGAAAGGAGACGCTATGTATACGATTGCGAAGAGAGCTTGGGAAGTTTGAAGGTACTCATAGGTAACTGGCAACGTGTAAGTCGAGAAACCGAGAGTTGCGCCGCTTTGTCGCAGCTGGCCCAGCGTTCACTAATATGATGCAGTTCCTGTGCAGTCGAAGTACGAAGTCACTCTCAAAAGGTCTGACCATGGATGAGTTATCGATTCTTCGTCATCAACACGTCTGAAGCCTTTCTTGGCAGTGCCGTGCCTAGACACTTACAATGCTCCTACTCTGGCAGCCCATATCCCTACCTCCCAACAATCTTCTTCTCGAAATACCGCGCAGGTATGTACACCAGGGCAGTCACAACGAATGTGAACTCATTCGCAATGTCACCACCATCAGCTCCGATGAGCCCACCTAGCGGACCGACATACCACGTTTCGACCATGCCAAGGATCCACGCGACGATTCCGATGGCGAAAGCGGTGCCGGCAGCAATACCCAGCGGCAGACGACTGGGATCGTTCCATGCATCTAAGTCGTAATTATCGAAGTTCATACGACGGAAGATAACGTGCTCGCTGCACAGAATGACAAAGTATTGAGTAGTCCAGTAGCCGAGCAGACTGAGAAAGTTCTGCAGGTAAACACTCAGTTGCTCACGGCCACCAATAGCGAGACCGAGGATGGCAGCGAAACAGACCAGAATCCAGATGAAGCGGGGAACGCGTGCAAAAGGACGGGAAAATTGCTGGCAAGAAATGGCGGCGCTGTAGATGGATATAACGTTTACGTTGATGCCGGAAAGGACCAGAAGCGTGAGGATCAGCTTTGCGAAACCGCGTGGGTAAAGCATGGTTTGGATGAGAAAGCCCAGGCCGTCGTTGTCGTACACTTCTTGCCAGTCTGGTCGGTTGTTCATGCCAAATGATACGACGCAGCCCGCCAGCATACCGATGGAAGTAGGAATAGCGATACCGAAGGTGGTCATGAGGAAGACCTTCCAGCGGGAGACGTTAACGGGGTAGTGGACGTAGTAGTCGGATGCCATGGTCTGCCACGATGCAGAACTACCGTAGACAATAGCAATCAAGCTCAAAACCTGTCCACTGAGGTCCGCTCCCTTCAGCTTGGGCGTATTGCTGTTATCGGTATACTTGCCCGTCTCGGCGAAGAAGATGATGAAGATGATGAAGAAGACGAACCACGCATAGCGCTCGTAGACCAGGATAGCTCGCAAGCCAATGAACGAAATAAGCGTAGCGACGACGGCCAGGATGACGATACCAACGATCAGCGAGATATGGCCATCTGCCACAGCAGTGAGGGCCAAACCACCCGTGATGCAAGCCACAGACGCCCAGCCAATCTGCACAATAGTGTTAAGAGCAGCAATAACCTTGTTAGGCCACCACCCAAACGCATATCTCGACATGGAAATCTGCCTCAGCCCAGTCGGCGCACCAAAAGTGGCGGCAAACCCTGTCGCCGCGCCACCAAGGATAGACGCGAAGATGGTGATGACGATACTCTGGCGAAGTGCTGCAAAACACGAAACAATCAGTCAAGCTGTTGCAAGTACGCGGGAAACGGTACGTTCTTACTCAAACCAAACTCATGTCCAAGGAACCCCGTCGCGAAACAAGACGTGTTCATTGTGCCCGAGGCCCAGAGGAAGAACATGTTGAGTTGGTGGTGCCATGGCACGTGGCCCTTGTCTTCTGGCAGTTTGCGACTGATGGCTTCGGATTCAATGCCTGCAGAGGTAGAGGTACGAAATCAGTATATGTCTCATATGCACTTCGTACAGTCAGAACTTACCTAGTTTCGCATCTAATCGCTCTTCGAAACGGCGCAGTTTGGCGAGGAAGCCTGTTTCGCGGGTGACGGCTGTCGTAGCGCCGACTCCCCTGCCGCTGTCCGTCGAGAGACTGGCTTCGTCCTGGGCTTTTTCCGCTGACAACATCATGGGCAGCGTCGATCGTGACAAAGACTCAGAAAGAAAGGTGACTAGAAAGGGTTGGACAAGACCAACCCAGGGTCAAACAGGGCGAAGCATGGTCGTTCTATAGTAAACTACCCCACCGCGCACACTCGGCTCCCAGCCGCGTCATGAAAAGCCGTTTTGACGCCGGTGGCAGGGTGCGAAGAAAAACGACTGCCGTATGCCGCCTAGCCTGTGTGCTTGCGAAGAACTAGTAGCTCCACTCTTATCTTTGACAAGCACTTCTGGGCAAAGCTTAGCCTGTCGGCAATCGTGGATTACTCCCTCGGTAAGGAGCGTTGCGTGTGAGCCCTGCATATGGCTTGATTCTTATCAGGAGTTGGTACGCTGATCAGGTGCGACTCCGGTTCGTGGCTGACTAGCGGGATGATTTCAGGCTTTCGAGCCGTTCACAGAGCGGCTGGATGATTTGCATTTTCGGAGTAGGCCGATGCGTAAGCACACCATCCTACAAGCCACGTGCGAAGCAGCATCCCATCGCGCGACCATTTCGCAGTCCGTGAAACATTATTGCCATTTGCATGAAGCAAGGCAGAGGGCATTCATTTGGCCCTCCAGCAGAAGGAAGCTATCAACTATGCCAGCTCTCCTAGTGTACATACTATACAATGTATTGACCCGTTCAGATCATGGTTAGGCATAAGTCATGCATCGGATGCAAATGTATTCATGGTTCCAGGAACTGTCCGCTACACCGCTTTTGCGCGTGCTGATTGCAAGGTACCGCTCTTTCTGAGCAAGAAACCGGCGGCCTTGCTGGTTAAGGGGGTGACAGTTCCACGCTCGGGTTGTGCCTTCTTTGCTCCCCTCGATTGCTTCTGCTTCATCTGTTCAAGCCTAGCCGGTATACCTGAACCCAGACCACGCTCCCATAGAGCATAGCTGATGACCTTGTCTTGACCAGTCTTGCTGCGCTTCTCAACCTTGGTAGGCTTGACGCGACGCAATTCGACGTTGCCCAGATTAATCAAATCGCCCAGGTCGGCCCTCCTCTTGGCGTCGGCATCAGATGTGGCCTGCTGCTTCGCTCGCTGACGTGCCTTCTGCCCTTCTACATGCATAGCGCTGAAGAGACTGGTAGGCTGGGGTTTGGCGGCCTCTAATACATGATTGTATAGATCGCCTAGGGTGTTCGCGGAAGAGAGGTGTGGATCGGAGATGCGGCAGCCGGTAAGTTGGTAAAGGCGTTTGTAAAGCTACATAAGTCAGCAAAGGTAAAATAAAAAGGGTCGATACACGTACAGCGAACTTGACGTTGATGTCAGTGACGGGAACGTGCCGCCATTTCGTCTCTTCGGGCTTGATAGCAGACGAATCTCTGCTGCTCTGCTGAACTGAGGTTTTTAGAGCCGCAAAGTCAGCCGCCAAACGCTTCGCTCTCTCTTCGAGGATAGCATGTCGCGACTCGCTCGCTGCAGCTGGAGCGATTTGGTTAACGGGCTCCGGGTCGGCTGCATGGTCAACAAGCTCGGTTTGGGGTACGTCTTGAGCAACTTGAGGTGGCGTAGTTTCTTGAACGACCACTTCCTCAACAATTGCCTCCTTGACGGGCGCTTCAACTGGCTTGGCGCGAGGGACGGGGCGGTTCGACATGAAGTCAAACGGCTTGTTCTCGCCATCCATCTTGACCACTGCTGCTTTCTTGTGTGCTGGTGTGTCGGGGTCCATGGTCTGTACTTGCTCCTGTGCAAGGCCGGCATCCTCAAGTTCCTCAACGACCTCTTCAACGAGCAGCTCGTCCGATACCTCTGGCTCAGCCTCCCAAGCGGGTGCCGTTTGCATCGTCTCCAAGAGATCTTCCAAGCTCTTGTGCTGGGGGAAGGCAAGAGCAAGCTCACCGCTTTCTGTCTTGACTAACTTGATGTCCTTGACCCAGCGTGGCCGATCGTAAACACCTCGGTTGGCAAACTTGGATAGGTCCATATCTAAACCAGCCTGCTTCAGGGCATAAATCTCGGCGACAGCTTGTGTGAAACTGGCACGCATATCGGTAATCCGGGTAGCTTTGGCGTGGAGGCCAAAGTTGTAGTCGGTATATGGGCGCTTGGTCTTCTCGTGTACAGTTTGCGCCATAAGCAGATTCTCGTCCTTCAAAGTGTACGGAGTGCCCGTAAGCTCTTCGATCTCATTGGCCATGTCCAGTGTCAGTGGCGTGTACGTCCGTAGCGTAAGTTTCTCGAATTCCTTAGCCAAGTCCTTTTCGACCTTTTCCTGCAGCCATTCCTCGCCACCGACCCGATGCAGGCCGCGTAGATACTTCGCAGGCTTGTATTGGGGGAATCTTGAGGCTTCCTCGTCAAGGACCTCTTCGTATTCGCCCTGGTCTTCAGGCGCTATGCGGACCGGTGATGTGGGATCATAAGGGTCGACGTGTGCACCAATAGGCTCCGAGTCGCCAAGAAGACGCTTCTGCCATCTTCGCACGAACTGCTGGTGCTTTCTCTTGTCCTGTTTGCCCGGTAGCAGGAAGGACTGGGGTGCGGTTGTGGAGAAGGCGGCGGATGGGGTGCGGAGATGGGTGCAGGGCGACGGGGCGGGGCGGCAGGGCAATGGCGACACTCGTTGCCGCATGCAAGCGGAGAGGGGATGTGAGGGATCAATTGCCCGCGAGGGGCGCGGTATTCGGCGCATTGGGTTCGAGATGCGGGTGATGCACGTCTGCTGGAAATTCCTTCGACATGTCGACGAGCACGCCAAGCCGCCGGACATCAGCCAATCAGCGCCCTAGCAGCCCCGAGCACTGGAGAAGCCCATGGTTTTGGAGAACATGCGTCGTCTGATCTCTGCCTGCACTTTGATTTTTGATCTAGACATGTTGGCGTCAGGAAAGATACTGTCATGTTCAAGTGTCTATTATGTATATCATGAAAACTTCTTTACTAGCCACGTAGAGCCCCTCTCGTCATACTCGGCTTTGGACACGAGCAACTCCTTCAACAAGTCGGGTTGGCTAGCGACGTTTGCTCCTCCTAGCCATGTGTGCTTGATCGGGTCATCTGCCCGCGCCACATTCAGCGTATACTCGGCTGGTACCAGAGCCCTCAGCTCTGTCTGCATT